TGTTGTTTCCTATCTTATTGGTATGATGTGATCTGTTTGATTGGTATATAAACCTCGTATGTTTAAAATGCATGGTTGATATTGCAGAGACTGAGATTGGCGTTCTGGACTTAACTGGCTAGGCTAATCAGGTAGCAGGACCGATAAGGACTCTAGACTACTCGTATGGGTTTTATGCATCATTGATCCGATTGATAATTCACTGCTCCCTAATTGTCGGTATCATTACATTATACATTTACAGGGCATACAGGTCACAAGTTATCATAGTTAGTATATTTATTGAACGGACTAGTATATGCTCATTTAAGAAAATTATATATCAGTTAAACATTACTGCATACTAGATTGTGGTTGGAGGTAGTCAACAGGAAACCCTAGACCCGGGTTTCGTGCTACATGGCACTCGTCAGCAAGGTGTACCTGTAATCTTGAGAGAACTGGTGCTCCCTAACGGATTCGATCCCGTGTCACTCAGCTTACAGGTACACTTTGCTGACGAGTGCCAAGTAGCACGAAATCCGGGTCCAGGGTTTCCTGTTGACTACCTCCAACCACCATCTAGTCTCACAATAGTGCCCACAGTGTCAAGTCACTTAGACTGGTGGCCACATTGGAACATGGTCGATAGCATTCGATCTGCACTAATAATAAGGACTAGACAAGCATCACATTGATCACCACCCAGTGATCAATCAATCGTGATTACTACATACATTTATGATCAATATATAGGTATTAGGCTGTTACAGACATGATAACGTTTTCCAACAAGTGAAGTTACATTAGTTCCTGACTACATGAATCCTTGTGATCATACATGACCTTGTCTCTTGTGCTTTATGGATAACTATTTCTTATCATGTGATGAACTTAGATGATAAATTAGAAAAACAAAACAAAACAAAACATTGACAAACCTATGACATAATCTATTACCTTTTGTATTAGTATAATAGTAATGGGAAAACTAATAAGTGTAATACATCCTTATGACGTAATAATTAGCTAAGTATTATTATCATTACAGTAGTGGATTATGTAATTAATGCGTTTTCCCATCATTATGATAAAGAATGACATTTTCAATGTACTTTATATGGATATACGTATATATATGTGAAGTAATTTATATGGACAGTCACGTGAATGTAATACTGTTTCAACTTGTGATCAGATATGTATGTGTATGGACTGGGAATTTTGACCTTGTAACAACTCTCTCTCTCTCTCTTGGAATAGTGAATCGATGATTCTGGTACAAAATCTATATGATCTGATAAATGTTCAATAGGTCGCACTGCTGAGGAGTCTTATACTAGGACGAAACGGTCGTCCAATGATTCTAGGTTTCCTATGATGGTTTAACTTGAATTGATTTATAAATTTAATTATTAATAATAAAGAAATAATATCATATCAGATGGTGATTGGAGGTAGTCAACAGGAAACCCTAGACCCGGGTTTCGTGCTACATGGCACTCGTCAGTAAGGTGTACCTGTAATCTTTGAGGGAACTGGTGCTCCCTGACGGATTCGATTTCTGTTGACTACCTCCAACCACCATTTAATCTTACACTAGTACCCGCAGTGTCAAGTCACTTAGACTGGTGGCCACATTGGAAAATGGTCGATAGCATTCGATCTGCACTAATAATAATGACTAGACAAGCATGACATTGATTACCACCCAGTGATCAATCAATTGTGACGGGATGTACCTTCATTTCAGTGTAAATAGTCACTGCAAGGTTCATGTACATTCAATTGATGAGTCCTGATGAGGTGAAACGCATGTCCTATATTCCATTGCTAACCACATTCCAGCTATTCGACGTGAACTTATGTCACAATATCTATATTGAGGCAACATATATATCCACTGAAACCGATTAAACAGCGGGAAAATACAAACTTTCACTAATATCTATGTCATTATTAGAAGGAATTTAACTTATTTCACTGTTGATAATCTTGACTAAAATTATAATCAGTCCTACTTGGTGTATGTGGATCTTGTGCCAATCACCCTAATCTAGATATTTTGTCACAAAGTTCCTATACAAATTAGATGAAATGTAGCTAACAGTGGGATCCAGTTGATTCGTTTCACTCTACTTAGAACTTATCATTCGGATAAATATTCCAATAAGATTATCAACACAACAAGATAATTAAAATCCATTCCGGTAATTATATTTGTTGCATAAGTAAGTGGTTATCTAGAATGAACAAATCGGTAGATAGATCATTGAGAATCTGAAATGAAAGGTAGTAGGTTCAAGTCCCGGTATGAAGATTGTTGGGAAGACTCAGAAAATTTCTCAAAAATAGATCAAAGGGACCTTGAAAACGATGGGAAACATTTATTCAATCAGCATTCAATAGACGTTTATCAGAAATATTTAGAATGTGAACAGTCGTGTGTCACATTTCTGATTGCATAATTACCTATTCTGACACTATGTTTAGTAGGGTTCCAGAACTTTCCAGAAATCCAATATCATCTGTAATGCTATAAACACCCGAAATTTTCTGTACATAAACGGAAACTTGGAGTAGAGTGTTACTTCGATAATTTGCGCGTTTTCTGTGGTGTTCAAGTTGTTGTGTTTATTTATCTTGAGGGTTACTAGAAAAGCTCATTAAACCGACTCAAACGTTCAATTGGAATATCTATCAACAATCACACTTGATGGAGAAACTCTGGGAGATATGGGAACTTTCATGAACCTGAATATCATAATCAATGAACAAGAAGTATCCAATACAGACGTAAATGTAAAGACTGGCAAATCCAGAAGAGCATTCTACAGTTGAAGAATGTGTGGTACTCAAAACAACTGTCAACCAATATCAAATTCAGAATGTTCAATACGGACGTCAATCTAGTTGTACTGTATGGAGATGAAATGTGGAGAACTGGTACAACCACCATCAAAAGTGTACAAGTATTTATAAACAATTGTCTACCCAAAATACTGAATGTCCATCGGCCGGAACCATCAGCAACAGCCTACTATAAGAGATGTCAAACCAACTTCCAGCTGAGGAGGAAATTAGGAAAAGACGTTGGAAGTGGATGGGACATACATTTCGGAAATCACAACGCTGTAAAGTATAAGGCCAAACAACATACAGAGGCGAAAATTGGAAGCAGACATGAAAAGAATTGATAGTGACTAGAAAGATCTAGAAAGGCTTGTCCAGCTTGGAGTTGTATGGAGAATGATGGCAGGTGATCTATACTTCTCTATGAAAGCTAACAGGCTAAAATAAGTAAGTAAGTGTGGGTTCGAATCTCGCGGGGGGGACGGGATTGTAAATGCGCACTGTTGAGGAGTCCCACAATAGGACGAAATAGCTGTCTAGTGCTTCCAGGTTTTCTATGTTAGTCTCATGATCCCAACTATTGAAATCAATGTTTGTTTGTTCTTTTTTTTTTTGAAAAAGAAAAGAATTAGAAAAACAACAAAAATAAACAAAACACACATATGATATGAATATCTGGACAAAACAATGTTATTTCCCAATTACCATTATCTTTGTTCTTCTTGTCTAATATAAACAAAAAGGTACACTTATTTATGCGTGGGTGTGTTACTATTTGTGCAAAGGTAAACATTTAGGTTAAGTAAACATTGATTTAGTTGTTTTTCTTTCTGTTTATGTTTAAAAAGAAAATATGAAAGTTCACTTTTCTACAACAATAACAATAAAAATAAACAGGTAATTTTATTTAAATTAATAGATGGATGACTGTTTCGTCCTGTTGTGGGACTCCTCAGCAGTGCACATCTACGTCCCATAGTAGGACGAAACGGCTGTCCAGTGTTTTTAGGTTTTCTATGGTGGTCTAGTTTCAATTGTCTTAGGAGGGGGGGGTTGGAAAACCTTCATTTCAAACTAATGGTGCACATAGGCTCCACGATCCTGAGGGAAGAAATGGCGTATGAACCTATTGTTAGTCACCGTCTACCATGAGATTGTATTTCTTGACGTTGTTGTATTGTCTTGTGGATGAGAGTTCTAGGTCAAAGGCTCCAAATGTGGTCCCTTAAAAACACCACCTCCTTCGACTTGGGCTCCTGGACAATATCCAAAGCAAGTGACTTGTATGGCGCATATGTATTCGGTACCCCTTTGTACATCTTATCACACCCAATTAACTTGAGATACAAAAAAATTTGCAAACTAATAATGACAATATCTAATCAGATCACTACAAGGGTCTATAACACCAATCTCAGCCCCCACGACACAAAAAAATCAAACTACATAACTGATATGTTCCGTTAAGTATAATGAATGGTAACTTTTGGGATCCATTTATGGATCAATACTATACGTATATTTTTATCGTATAATTGTTAAATAACTAAACTATCTGCATATGTCCCTCTTATTATGAGCCTTATTTTGACCTATTATACTGCTATTATACTATTCTTGAATTATGCCTTGTTTATTCATCACTACCTCCCACATTCACAGCCACTTTCGGATAAACCTTGTATAAGTGTTGTTTCCTATTTTATTGATACGATGTAGTCCGTCTGGTCGGTATATAAATCGAGTATGTTTGAAGTAAATGATTCATATCGTGGAGGCTGAGATTGGTATTCTGGACTTAACTGGCTGGGCTAGGCATGAAGAGGGACCGATAAGTACCCTGGACTACTCGTACATGTTTTTTGCATCATTGATCCGATCGATAATTCACTACTCTTTAATTGTCGGTATCATTACGGAGCACTTAAGCTACAGGTTATAACAATAATCCATAAATTAAGAAATAACATTTGTACAAGTTCGAGTCAAAAAAGTGGTTCCAAGTATGGGATACTTTAACTAATAGGATAGGAGTAAGTTGATAGTGGTAAATTGTATAATAATAGCTAATAGGTCAAATGAAAGCTTACAGTAAAAGGAATATGAATATACATATAATATAGTCACTTAATAGTCACAATACTCCATAAATAGACCTTAGCAATTACCTTCCATTCATCCTCGTCTGGACATAACAAACCATAAAGCGTTTTCAATGAGTTAGTTTTCTGTGGGATGGATTCGCCAACCCAATGCCCAACCCTCCTCGTTTATCCAGGTCTCGAATCGGCAGTAGCTCCAGAGAGGCTCCAGGCGGAGTTACAACAAACATTGTATATACAAAATTATTTATTTACCTGAAAATCATCACAATATTTCAAAAGTGATAATTTTTGAAGAAAAGTGTACAATACTACTTATTGACAATTCAGATGAAAATATCTTTTTTCTCTTTTATTTTGTTCAGAAATAATTTTTTTATTCAGATAGGAGTTATGTGGACATTATAGTAATTTATTAGTTGAATTGATGGCAAAATATCGTGGATTAGTTGAAGTTAGACATTAACATTGTGGGTGGACTCAGTGATTTACGGGTGAATCGTTTACACTCGAGATCGATAGGTCCTAAGTTCGAATCCCGTGAGGCGGGATGGTGGATGCGCACTGCTAAGGAAACCCATAATAAGACGAAATGGCCGTCTAGTGTTTCTAAGTTCTTCATGGTGGTCTTCCAACCGTTGTTGCTACCTTGATGTGGTGGTCGGGCTTGCTTGTCGTGATGAAGCAACAGAGCTATACTGGCTGGAACAACCGTTCCTCAAGGCCCTACCATGCCAGACAGGTCTGTTGAAGAGCGGTAAGACTAGAAGCAACAAATCCAAGGTCCGAAAGCGAAGTCGTACTACTGATTGTACAGTAGTGTGACAACAGTAAGGTGTTTCCTTCAGACAACCAGCATAACAGCGATTCAGCCTTCTCACAAGCAGGAGTGTGGTTAGAAATGGTTGACCCTAAACATCTACATCACACCTTATCTCACGGATATCCGTCTCCGGTGATAAGGTTTCAACAAGTACGGAGCTAACACCAAAAATTACTCACAAAACGTTCATGTATGACCGACCTTAAGCAATTGTCCCTTGGGCACTGCGGTCACGCTCTCAGGCCATTAAGACCTCTTCTAATCCAATTTCCTTTTCAGTTACCTCTAGAAGAACCCTTCCACAGTGTAGACAACCAGGAAGTAATAACTAACCTCATATCTCTAGCAACACACAAGATCACTGTATAATGATCTATCTTCAATGGATTCCATGAATTCAACTATTAAATAACACTATATATATTTCATAAAAGTACATTTTCTGTCATTTGACTTGTAATTTCAAGGTTAATTGAAATATAAATTTCATAGATTGAATAAGAAACAAAACAAAACAAACTGGAATTTAGATAAAAATGTCTTAATAGAATGTCATTAGACAATTATATAATCTGGTATTGATAGAAATCACTAGACTAGAGGAAAAGATCATTGTTGTTTTGAAAAGATAACAATGGGATAATCCGTCTGTCACATTTATTTTATAGACAAAACATGATTATAAACCAATTGTCAATTCATTTTGATGTTATATTATTGTTATTTAGTCAATTGAAGCTAGACCACCACGATGAAAAATCCTGGATGCATTGTTTGACAGCCGTTTCGTCCTATTGTGAGACTCATCAGCAGTGCGTGGATTGGTTGAAGTTAGACATTAACACCGTTGGATGCTGGCCGGCTCATTGGTCTAGTTGGTTAAGCGCCTGGCGCGAGACTGATAGGTCCTGGGTTTGAATCTCGAGGGGAGGGGCGGGATCGTGGATGCGCACTGACGCTGAGGAGTCCTATAATAGGACGAAACGGCCGTTCAGTGCTTCCAGGTTTTCCATGGTGGTCTAGCTTCAACTGACTCATGATCTCAACCATTAAAATTACTACAATCTCCACAAAACCCCTTTCGATAATAATCAACATATGCTCACTAGTGACTAGATTCAAGAGGTATATCCTAGAGTTCTACTGAGAAGTAGTGACCAGTGGAGTTCAACCAGGTCTGTTGTGAGATAGTAACTCACTGAAGACAATGGTGGATGTGTCGTTCAATTTCGTAGATTGGTTGAAGTTAGACATTAACATCTTTGGATAACGGATAGCGCAGTGGTGTAGTGGTTAAGTGGTCGGGCGCGAAACCAGTAGGTCCTGAGTTCGAATCTCGCAGGGGGCGGGGTCGTGGATGTGCACTGCTAAAGAGTCCCACAATGGGACGAAGCGTCCAGTACCTCCAGATGGTCTAGCTTCAACTGACTCATGGTATTAACCATTGGAATAATAATATAGTTGAAAATGATGTGTCTTTTACTGACTTCAATATATATGAAGAATAACAATACATTTAATAGTTGAATTTATGAGTCCATTGAAGTTAGACAATCATAGAAAACCTGGAAGCACTGGACGGCTGTTTCGTCCTAGTATGGGACGTAGATGTACGTTGTTGAGAAGTCCCACCATAGGACGAAACGGCCGTTCAGTATTTCCAGGTTCTCCATGGTGGTCTAGCTTATATTGACTCATTGTCTCAACTATTAAGATTACTATGATGTCAACAAAGCCTCACTCTGTGCATAACAAACTTAATCCGACAGTAAATTTTGCTAATTTACTTAAGCTACTTGCAAGTAGTTAGAAAACTACAGCACATTTTAGGGACTTTTTTCAGATGGATGAAAATACAGATTGAATTGCAATTTTATGAGAAATCATAAAAACTCTAGGAATATTGATCATAGTCTGTTAAAAAACAATCTCAGACTGTGTATGGTAGAATAACTACACAGGTACCGGTATAAGAAAGCCATGTGTTATGCTTGGTGACTAGCATTTGCTATTTGATTCGGTCAGAACAATCACAGTCACGTGTTTACCGAAAAATCTTCTGACTGAACCTTTAAATCGGTTTGCTAAGCTTTTCTAGTAACCCCTAGGCTAAATTTACACGATAACTTGAACACCACAGGAAACGTGAGAAATATCAAATTAGCACTCTACTCCAAGTTTCCGTTAATGTACAGAAAATTGAAGGTATTTATAACATTTCAGATGATATTGGATTTCTGGAAAGTCCCGGAACTCTACTAACACATAGTATCAGGATAATCATCCACTGGAAAATATGACAAGTAACTCCTCACTTTCTAGATATTTCTGGTAAACGTCTATTGAATAATTGAATAAATGTTTCCCAGAATTTTCAGGGTCTCTTTGATCTTTTTTCAAGGAACTTTCTGAATCTCTTCAACAATTACTTCATGCACTTTATTCCTAAAGAATGTTATTTGGGCCTCATGGTCCCTCATCACATTCTGAGAATATCAAGTAATACAAATCAATTTCGACATTCTATTTTAGCAGAAGGTATTTCAATAAATTAGGTAGCAGTATGTCATCAAAGTTGACTGACTTAGAGAATGACATCGTTGTTATTCTGTGAAGAGATGTGCGTTTTATTAAACCTTCTAGAACATATACATGGTTTGTTCAATAAGCCATTATACTAAGACATTGAATTTGTTGGTTATGAATATGGTTAAGTAAACGAACAATCGCTTCACTCCTCATGGAACCAATTTAACCAAGGTTCTCTTCATTTATTAAGGCGAATTTTTTCTGGTTAACGTTTTTTAGCGAGTTAGTTGTCTACGGAATGAGGTTGCTAACCTCATGCACAACCTTTCTCCTCTATTCGGGCTTGGGACCAGCAGTAGCCCCAGAGGGGCTTCAGGCAGAGTTATTAAGGCGAACTTATGTGATACTAATGGATCTCTACTATGTCACAACAACTGGTCTACATATTCAACAGTGATTCTCCTTAAATCTTTAACCTATACTTCAGTCATTGCATTAGATCCTGCTTCTTACTCACATGATTTAACTGTGTGGAATGATTAGCCTCAAATGCCCTGGTACGGCTGAGAGTGGGAAGAATCAGCTATTCCTCTCGAAATGCTCTCACATGGCCACGTGTATAAAACCACTGACAGAGAAGTTCTACTCACTACCATCTCGTGGCGGAGGTGTCGTCTACGAAATTGAGAAGATGAAAAGCGAATGTCTGGCGCTTTAACCGGATTGGTGGACACAGAGGATCCACCCAGATCCCAAACCAATGGTGCACATGGGCTCCACTATTCTGAAGTAACAAATTACGTCTGAACCAATCATTGGTCAGTTGATATCATGGGACTGCATCTCCTTACGTTGCTCCACTGCCTTGTGGATCAGACCTTTAGGTCAAAGTCTCCAGGTGTGGCCCCCCAAGAAAACCACCAGCTTCGGTATAGGCGCCCGGACAGTATCCCATCCCTCACACAAATCGAATGATTTATATGGCACATATTTATTTAGTGCCTCCTTGTACCAATGTTAATGTGTTTAAATAAATAAAATAAAAAAGAATGGTTGTAAAAATCAGTATTCTAAGATCATACCTACTTATTTACGTCTGTAACTCCCAATAGAGCAAAGTCCACCGACCAACATTCTCCAACTCACTCTCTGTCCTGGATCTTCCTTTCCAGTTCTATCCAATTCTTGTTCATTTCTCTCATATCTGTCTCCATTTCTCAGCATAATATGCTCTTTGGTCTTCCTCTCCTCCTTTGACCTTGAGGATCCCACATGAGGGCTTGCCTTGTGACGCAGTTGGTTGCTTTTCTCAACATCTGTCCTATTCACTTCCAGCGTGTCGTTCTGATTTCTTCTTCCACTGGGATCTAATTTGTTCTCTCCCATATCAGATTGTTACTGATAATGTCCAATGTATTTTCCGTAAACATAACTATAATATAATGTATTATTGAACATATCTAATTGACTTTATGGCTTTACATTTTTCATTTATTTCTCATAGGAAACATCAATTATCATGACAATCAGGTTTTGATTTTTCTTAAAATCTTTAAAGAAAAATAAATCATTAACTGATCGATATTACAACACAACACAACACAGCACAACACAACACAACCCAACACAACACAGCATAGCACAGCACAGCACAGTACAGTACAGTACAGTACAGTACAGTACAGTACAGTACAAGCCAGTTATATACACATGTATATACATAGATACAATCATATCTAGGCCTAAATCTAAATCAATAAATACCTATAGAAACTAATCGAATAAAATCGATTATCAAATGTATTCGTATGATTCATTTGTATATATTTTATTTAAGTAGTAATGTATTAAGTAAATTTATTGTTGTTAATTTAAATCTTTCGATTGTTACTAAGGTCTATCATTGATCAATTAATTATTGTCATATGTACATACTGTGTAGATTGCTTCGATATAGACTTAAATTATAAATATGCTAAACAAAGATGAATGATAGTTAATAATGGAATTCAGTTCATCCCAATTGTACAAGTAAATGACTAACAGGACTCAATAGTTAAGTGAATAATACGATGGTATTTGAAACAAACAATACTGGATTCGAGTTTCAGAATGAATATCAACTCTGAGATATAGGTACATTCATTTGATGAGTTTCAAATAGGACGAAACGCGTGTCCTGGATTCCATCTTCGTCTATATTTTGTTCTAGGTTGAGACTTATACTTCGTATATTAATCGTATGGGTTATAATATCTGATTAATCAACCACTTTAATACAGATATGGGAATATATGTATGAAAGGATATAGGTAAATAGTACTGATGAAAGTGATATTGTTGGTCTGTTAAATAAGTTAATTACTGGTGTGAATGAATTTAACCTATTCAAACTCAAGTATTCTTATGCCTGTATCAATGGTTTGTTCTGGTTAGTGTTATTTTAGCAAAGTTATTTCTTAAGAGAATTGGTTACTGACCTTATGCCCAACCCTCCTACTTTACTCGAACTTGGAACCAACAGTAACCTTAATACACTAACAAATGACACAGTGAAAATAGCCATTGTATCAGCATCCTCTGTATCAGTAGGCTTTAACATGCATTAGAGAAGAACAAGATCTTGAAATACAACTCAATGAATGTCAACCTAATTGTTAGAAGATCTGAAACATTCTTCGAAAAAAAAAAAGATTAAAGCAGCTCTGAAAACGATGGGAAACATTTATTCAATCAGAATTCAATAGATGTTTATCAGAAATATTTAGAATGTGAACAGTCGTGTGTCACATTTCTGATTGCATAATTACCTATTCTGACACTATGTTTAGTAGGGTTCCAGAACTTTCCAGAAATCCAATATCATCTGTAATCCTATAAACACCCGAAATTTCGTATACATAGAAGGAAACTTGGAGTAGAGTGTTACTTCGATAATTTGCGCGTTTTCTGTGGTGTTCAAGTTGTTGTGTTTATTTATCCTGAAGGTTACTAAAAGAGCTTATTAAACCTACTCAAACGTTCAATTGGAATATCTATCAACAATCACACTTGATGGAAAAACTCTGGAAGATATGGCAACTTTTATGAACAAGGAGTATCCGATGCAGACGTAAATCTAAAGATTGGCAAATTCAGAAGAGCATTCTACAGTTGAAGAATGTGTGTAACTCTAAACAACTATCAACCAATATCAATCTAGTTCTATTGTATGGAGCTGAAATGTGGAGAACTATTACAACTATCATCAAAAGTGTTCAAATATTTATAAACATCTATCTACTCAAGATACTGAATGTTCAGTGCGCATCCTTGATTCCACTGCTAGCCGTTATCCATATTTGTATATAATACATGTGACTTAAGTCTATATCGAGGCTATACATACAATATGTACATATGTCAATAAGAGACCGGTCAATTGCAGACCTTAGTAACAATGGAAAACGGTTAAAATATTGATTATATTTTCTAATCAAAAAAAAAAATAATAATAGTAGCGATAGAGATGTAAATGTTTAAACAAAGAATAAAAAAGATCATGTTTGTTCAGTGTTCATGGCACAAATCTATCAAGTCACTGGCAAGTGGACTGAATCATGTTGATAGGTGTAGACTACCTGGTTGGGATCCACGAGATGATAGCAACCGATGGTTATAGATCTTGAATGATATGGCTGAAAATCATTTGCAATGGCACAGGTGCACCTACTCTTTGTGTTCTCCCAAATTCTAATCGTCTGAATTCTTTATGTCCTTTCCTTTCTCTTTCCAAATTTATTTCACTGGATTATACTCCTTGAATAACATTTTGAAACCTTAATCTTTCCGATTACTGCTTATACTCTTACTAGCTCTACCACTATGGGATTTGAATCGACAGTTGTATCTATGTATTGATGTGGTATGGCAACTCGAACTGATATAAGTACGTACGTGCGTACAAACTTCTACATTGTTACTGACTGACTGACTGACTGACTGTGAGTTCATATTACCAAAGATCACTAATTACCATAATACTTCCTCATATATGCTTGAATACTTGCATTCATATTTACATAGCAACAACTAAACTATAAAATCTATAAAAAAAACCTTTACTTTAATTTCACTGATCAAAATCATGAGTCAATTAAAGCTAGACCACTATGGAAAACCTGGAAGCACTGAACGGCCATTTCGTCCTAGTATGGGACTCCTCAGTAGTGCTCATCCACGATCCCCCTCGTAGGATTCGAACCCAGGGCTTTCAATCACTCTTTAATACCAAGTACTAAAATCAATAAAAATTTTTATTTTTTAAACTTTAGAATACATCAATCTAATCATCTATCTAATAGTTTCCTTTTATTGTAAATACCCTTAATTCATTTCTATTCTTAATTCATTTTGTTTTAATTGTTCAAATCTTTGAATTGATGTTACATACTACAATTGATCAATCACTTTTAGTTTATGTTAATCATATACCGTATGACTCGATATTGTCACTATGCTATAATTATTTTAAGTAAAGTTGAATGATGCGTAGTAGTGGAATTCAGGTTGTTTATTTTGTTCTTTTTTTTTTTAATTGAGATCATGAATTGATTGATGTTAGACTATTGTTAGAAACCTGGAAACACTGGACGGCCGTTTCGTCCTATTTTAGGACTCCTCAGTGGCAGTGCGCATTCACGATCTACTTCGCAGGATTCGAACTCAGTGCCTTCAGTCTCGCTCATAAACGCTTAATCTACTGGACCACTGAGCTGGCATCCAATGGTATTAGTGTCTAACATCAACCAATTCACGAAATTGCGCGATCATCTTCCATTGTACTGAGGCAGATACCTGTTTCTATCCGACACGGATTAGCTTCACTGGTCACAGCTTCTCACTAGAACTCCGAGAATTCCTTCACGAAGCCAGTCACTGGTGAGTACATGTTAATTGTAAGTATAAGAGTTGTGGAGATTATTATGTTCTGTTTTAGATTCCATGGTTGGATTTACTCAAATATTAATGGGAAAATTTAAATAATCAGTTCGAATGAATTCAAATTCATCCCATCGCACAAACCAGTGGTCATCTAGTCTCAGTAACTAAATGGATAACGTGTTGGAGAGATATTTACTGATCCTGAGTCCCATTTTGAGTATCAACACCAGGGTGCATGTACTACCAAACGATCATTCCCGAATAGGACCAAACACGCACACTGGAATTTACTACTAGCCACCAGCTAACTCTATTTTCATCGTCAAAAGTTCTCAAAAGTCAGGTAATTCACTAACCTCGTAGCCGTTTCATGTTCTTAGAAAAGTAGTATGAACAGAATATTTTTTGAAATCTAGCTCCACCTCAGTAGATCGTCACTCAAAAAGTACAAAAGACTACATGTTTTCTATTTTTTTCATCAATACAAAAGTTTGACGATCATTCGGTTTCTGCATTACATTTCGGATATTCCCAATCCTCACTGAGATTTATTTATTCATTATTTTAACACACACCGAATACATATGTGACATATGGTTTGTGTGTGAGCTGTGATATTACTCGAGTGCTCAAACCGATACAAGTGGTTTTCTTAGAAGGCCACACTTGGAGCCTTCAACCTAAAGGTTTAATGCACAATGCAATGGAGCAACGTCATGAGATGCAGTCCCATGGTAGACGGTGACCAACAATAGGTTTGTACTGAATTTGTTCTTTCAGGATCGTAGAGTTCGTAAGTATTATTGGTTTGGAATGAGAGGATTTCAACTCCCCTGGGTGGATCCACCGTGTCCACCAAACCGATTAAAGCGTTGGATATTCGCTTTTCATCCTCTCAATTTCGTAATCAACAGCCCCCGTTGCCAGAAGGCAGTGAGTAGTACTTCCATGGGATTAGCCGTGGCATTTCGAGAGTAAGAGCTGAATAATTAAGAAGAATGTAAAGATGTCTGAAGAAGAAGAAGATAATCAAACAGAAATGTTATAACTTTTAGTTTTGTACTCTTGGTTCTTTGTTTTTCACCCGGTTGCCAATTATTATAACGCTCGGTTTTACTACAACTAGTGTTATAATCGTTGGGTTTCCATATTTACACGTATGGGATGTTAATTTACCTTAAACGAATACCTACACTAGATTCCTTCCCAGTGTCTATTATTCTACAGGACTCCGACACAACTCAGATCAAGAACACGTGACTAACCTGACCACAATGTAAATAAATTTCTACACCAATTCAACAACAATAAACAATCTATAATAAGTGGGGATCATATAATAATAATGATAAATAAATAGATAACTTATCTGATATACCTGTCAGACTATCTACATAATGGACTAAGCAGACAACCAGTCATGATCAGCCTTGCCCACACAAATCAAGAAACTAGATTATTCAAATAGATCTTGCGATTTTGAACGCTATACTGGATTCCTAAGCTATTCTGGAAACCCCCAAGCTAGAACTATACAGCGACTTGAACACAAGAGAGAAGGCACAAAGTATGCGAAAAGTACTTTACTCCAAGGTTCATTTTTGTACAGAAAAACATGGGTATTTATAGATGTGAACATTTGTTAAATCAACATCATATTTTGGCCAATCCGCTAAAAGACATATTATGCTACTGACCAATAGTAGCACGCCACGTTGGCATTCTGGAAAGCTCCATCGTGCTCTGATTGGCTAAGACTCTTTGGCTTCTC